GAGTGGACATAGTCTACGGCAACTGGAACGGGCCGCACCGCCTCTACCTGCAGAGTGGGGTCCCTGGGCACATCCGATTCCGGGTAAGGGCTGGGACTGGGACCCCCCGACTGCCAGCTTTGCCACTGAGCCTCCTTGGCTGGGGGGACTGGCTTCACCCTGATTTGGCTTTGAGCCCAAATTCCCAGCAAGGAGGGGACCCAAAGCACCAAAGTGGGACCTGGTGCCCTGCTCCCTGTGCCCATTGTAACCCCATTCCCATCCCTCATACAGGACATTGCAACCCCCAAGTTCTCCATGCCATCCCCTGTCCGCACTGTCATCGCAGCCGACTTTGACAATGACCAAGAGCTGGAGGTTTTCTTCAACAATATCGCCTACCGCGGCTCCTCTGCCAACCGCCTCTTCCGGTAGGAGCCTGGTGGGTACTGGGGGGGCCGGGGCAGCCCACACCCCCCTCTGGGGGACTGAGCAGCCCTCGTGGCGCAGCCAGGCTCACAGGGCTCCTCTCCAGCAGCACCACTGCTTGGGCTCAGCTAATAAAAGGCACCGTGACTGAGCCCTTCCTGGCATCATTACCAGCTGCTGTGATCGTGCCTGCAGCAGCCCCTGGGGTCCCCTGCACCGCTGATTAGCAGCCACATGGAAGCTTGTTCGTGGCTGCTGTTAATTGTGGGGGTCAATTCCTCATAATCACAGTGTGACGCCTTCTCGTCTGGCATGTGGGGTGGTGGGACCTGGTTGTCCACCTGGTGCTGGCACCCATGGGTGGGTGGAGGGCAGTGATGTGGCTGGGACCCGCTGCGGGGGAAACTCCATTCCCAACGTGATGCAGCAGTGTTTGGAGATGGCATTGCTGCTCTGCAGTTCAGACCCACAAGAGCCAGGTTGTCATGACATACCTGTCACCCCTGCATGGAGCGAGGCTGTGAGGTCCCGTCTCTCATCCACCTTGCATAGTCACTGGGGCTGTCGCCTCTCTACCATGCTGCTGCGGGAGGGGAGGCAATTTTGAGGAAGGTGCTGGGGACCATAGGGGCTGGCACTAATGCCCTGTCTGTGCTTGGCAGGCTCATCCGCAGGGAGCATTCAGACCCCATCCTGGAAGAGCTGAATCCAGGGGATGCACTGGAGCCTGAGGGACGGGGCACGGGTGGGTCCCCCCAGCCCTGGCAGTGGGGGTCCATGTGTCTGGGGATGCCACATGCCTGGCTGAGTCACCTGCCCACTCCCCACCTGTATCCTGGAGCCCCCATCACCCAGGAGTGGCCCTGTCCTTTCTCCTTCCACCCATGCCCAAATAACAATGCTGTTTCCAGTTGTTCCCCAGAGCTTCACTCTTGGGGAGCCTCTTCCTAGGTGCCCACTGTTCAAAGCCAACCTCTGCATTTGGCTGGGGGGGTGGGGGGGAGGGCAGACAGCCTGCTGTTTCCCACAGCCCCTCAGGCACTGCCTGTCCGCCTCCACTGCCCAGGGAGCTGACCCACCTGATGGCAGGGTGCCACCCATACAGGGACCCTTATTCCTGCACAGGGGTCACACCATCTTCCCTATTGCCCCTGCATTGCCAGGAGTGCCTGTGGGAGCTCACACTGGCAGAGGGGTGTAGTGCTGGGAGATACGGGGCTGTGCCCCAGGCATGACCTGATCCTGTCCTTGCAGGGGGTGCAGTGACAGATTTTGATGGTGATGGGATGCTGGACCTCATCCTGTCGCACGGCGAGTCCATGGCACAGCCAATCTCCATCTTCAAGGGCACCCAAGTGAGTCAGGCAGAGGGTCCTCGTATTTTCCCCATCCTTTACGCCTCTCCTTGCTCAGTCTCCCCGCTCCCTCCTCCCTTGCAGGGCACCAGCAACAACTGGCTGCGCATCATCCCCCGCACCCGCTTTGGGGCCTTTGCGCGGGGGGCCAAAGTGGTGCTGTTCACTCGGCACAGTGGTGCCCACCTGCGCATCATCGACGGCGGATCAGGGTACCTCTGTGAGATGGAGCCCGTGGCACACTTCGGACTGGGTGAGACACGGGGGTAAGGGGCAGCCCCCATTCCCAGCCATCCTCAACACCTCCCTGGGCAGGGTCCACCTCTGCCCCGGTGCCCTGCAGCACAGTAGTCATCCATGCCTGTTGCCCTGGGCATGGTGGGCTCCAGGGGAGGCTGCAGGCAGAGTGCTCAGCCACTACAGCTCTGCTGTAAGGGGCAGCTGCCCCTTTCTCCACCCTCTGCCTGCTGCTTTGCCCAGGCACCAGGGCTTTCCCTGCCTGTTAACGCTCCCCTGGCTCAGCACAGCTGGCAGCCAAGCCTGCAGGGGTGTTCCTGCCCACTGGCAGGGCAACTCATTGTCCCCATGTGCACCCCTTGGTCTGCATCCCTCTGTATGGGCTGTTGGCACAGGCACCAGGGTCCTGGCTCGGGGAGCAAGGGAAGGCTTTGTCCCTCCATTCCTACCACCCCCTGGCCTCCTTTCAGCCCCTGCCTGCCCCGGAGACCCCACCTCTGACCAGCTGCCCGCCTGCAGGGCACGACGAAGCCAGCAGCCTGGAGGTGACCTGGCCGGATGGCCGCGTCGTGGTGCGAGCTGTGGCCAGCAGTGAGACCAACTCTGTCCTGTCGGGGAGCAAGGGAAGGCTTTGTCCCTCCATTCCTACCACCCCCTGGCCTCCTTTCAGCCCCTGCCTGCCCCGGAGACCCCACCTCTGACCAGCTGCCCGCCTGCAGGGCACGACGAAGCCAGCAGCCTGGAGGTGACCTGGCCGGATGGCCGCGTCGTGGTGCGAGCTGTGGCCAGCAGTGAGACCAACTCTGTCCTGGAGGTCCTCTACCCCCTGGACACGGAGGAGCCACTCATGCCTGCCCCGCTGGAGGTGAGGGCCAGGTGTGGGTGCAGGGTGGAAGGCTTTGGGGGTAGAAACAAGGAGCTGAGCTCTGCTGGCTCCGTGGCTGGCCCCGGCCGGTTCCCCCCCCTCCC